CGGGGGGTGGAGGGGGGGTGGAGGAGATGGGGGAACCGGCGGGATGGGGGGGATTTACCTCCTCCTCCTGCTTCCTCTTCTTCCTCATAGGTGTGGAGCTCCCTCCCCCTCCTCCCGCGAGTATCGCGGGTCCTGCCCCTTGTATACATCTATTTTCAGAAATTTATTAAAAGTGTCTGGAGTTGTTAGCAGCCAGCATGCCTTGGATGTTCATGGTAAAACATACAAGATGGTCTCTTTGAAGACACCCAACCCCTTGGCAGCTCTCAGTGCATGACTGTCAATACCTGTCAGCTTGTGTAGAGAGGGTAAGAATAGCCTTGGCTGCACTGCTTCCGCTCAGTAGGCTGCCTCCACGGAAATCGAATGCTCTTCCTTTGCTGCCCTCTTTGATGAGCTCCTGAATGGAAACAGGCTGGATGATGGGGTTGTTGCTCAGAGCAGCTTCTTGCTCCTGCAGGAGTTCCTGGGGAGAGTCTGTCGACTGAGCTTCTCCATGGAGCCCTCCTATGGCCTGTTGTGTTTGTGTGATAGGTACTGGTGGCTGAGATGTGCCATCACTGAAATGAGTATGTTCCAGAGTACTGATGTATTCACACACTCTGAAAAGAAACAGCAAAAGTGAACTGTGCAGCAGAGGGACCTGCAGGTTAATTGATTAACGGGTGTCATACAATAGTTTTAAGGCAGCTGAATTGCAAAGCAGTGTTGTGAACACAGGGTGTCATCTGGCAGCTAATCCCACCACAAACACTGACACAGGAACTATATATGCTATGTGCAAATCAAAAGCAGCCTAATATTTGTTAAACGAATATTTCTTTCACTGCTGTGTCATAATCATTTTAGATAGGATTCTGCTTTCACTCAAATGGAAGAGTTCTGCCACTCCACGATGAGAACATTGTTACCATGTGTGCTTTAAATATATTATTTATGCTGATGCTGTATGTCTGTAAAATGTCTTTGCATTTGTGTATGTGGAATATGGGAAATGCTGTGTCTTGGGTTTGCTTGCTTTGCCTTCCTGTTTGCACCTGGAAGCTGCTATGTGCAGAGCTTGTTCTGCCTATGCTAATGGACACGTGCATACCCACACCTTCCCGGCATGCCTTGGGACAAAGGAGACATTCGCCATTAAGCTCAGCTTTGGAGACTAGGAAAAACAACAGGTCTCCCACCATTACAGATCTTCTGCATGACATGTAACCCCTCTTATCTGGTTCTGCATCACAAAGAAAACATCCTGTTTGCCAGCTCTGGACCAGGTCAGCATCTGCACCTCAAAAGGTTACCATGGCGATACAACTTTGACACCTGACCAGATGGTTCCCATTGAAGTTTAGCTGGTCCATCCGTGTGAAAGAAGGATCACTCTGGTGAGACCTTTTATTCCTGTTTTCTCCACTGAGAAGGATTCCTTCTGCCTGGATCAGATAAGTATTAAAACGCTACCCTTCTGTGTCTTACCTCCTTGTTAGTCAAGAGCTTTATTATTTTTATCACTTATTGCTCTCTGTATCTACTGTGAACTAAAAGGAACTTGAATGTATGCGTGAATCTGTTTTTGTGTGCTTGAGATCAACTATATTTAGTAAAGACAACATTTATTCATTAAATATCAGCTGTGTTGTCTCTTTATGGGGAACAAAAGCAAGTGTCTGGCTGACTCAATCTCTGTATACATATCGTGCTCAAGAACCCATTTATAAGCCCCTGCTGTAGATAAAGCGGATTTGGGCAACGGATTAATCTTCATCAGAGGATTTCCGGTATCAACATGAAGAATAGGTGAAATCTTATATTGCACTGCTCGTGGGAGTAAAGTCTTGCCAGGAAGACCACAGGTGCAAGACAGAGAAAGGTGGCTGGAAAGAAAAATATGATTAAAATAGTAATATTCTAAGAATATTCTCTGGCCACCAAATGAGAAGGGAGCACTCACTGGAGAAGACCCTGATGCTGGGAAAGATTGAAGGTCAAAGAAGACGGGGACGGCAAAGGATGAGATGGTTAGACAGTGTCATAGATGCAATGAACATGAAATTGAGCAAACTTCAGAGGATGGCGGAAGACCGGAAGGCCTGGCGTGATCTGATCCATGGAGTCGCGAAGAGTCGGACTCGACTGTGCGACTGAACAACAAAAATTCTAAGAAAAGTTTAATTATGTTTAAAGCTAAAAGATTTCATAAATCAAAGATACTAAAAATAATTAGACAAAAAAAATTCTGAAAATATGCTGGGATTTTTCAAAGAAAGAGGACTGGAAGTTTCTCTTTTTAAAATCTTGGTCATATTTTAAGAAAACTTATTTTATTAAAAAAGTTACAAGATTGGATCCTAGCACTCCATTCTGCTGGTATCAGTCTGTTTCTTCAGCACAGAAATGCTCCTTGGCTTTCTTATGTTGGCGGAAGGCACCAGAGGGATGGAGTCGTAGAATCCAACTCAAAATACATTGAAAAAATGGGCCTGAATAGAAAAAAAAATGTATTGAATAGATAAGAAGGGCAAAAAAGAATTAATCTATAACCAAATGATAAAACAATATTATATTCATTTGAATTCTAATATTAAAATGTCTTGCAAAGAACTGCATTTAAAAAAAATCAAGGGAGGCAAGCTGTATGACTGGAGATGAAAGGTAAAAGGAAGAAATATTTTCTGCTTTGTCTTGACCCTTTTGACCCCATTTGACCCCACAATACATTTTATGTGGGTCCCCCCTTTGTATTGACATACACTATAGATCCCCCCCAAAAAACTGGTTGAGCTGCTGTGATTTTATGGAACGCTCATGAATGTTTTTAGTGTTGCTGGGGAAATATGAAAATCTGTGCAAGCGCAATCAGGAAAATAAAAGGCAAACATCTTAGTGAGCGGTCTAGTTACAGGAGAGATTGTGCAGCTCTTTAGCTCAGAATTCATCATCGCTGCCTATGTGGGATAAGGGAAAAATGTGGCTGTTTTTGCTATACATCAAGAGGAGACAAAATGATACATTTATAATTCTTTTGTAAGACAGCTATTATGTACTTATTTATAAACTGATTTTCCTTTAAAATAGTACTGGAAAGGGTGCACAAAAAATACCAACTATTGTTTCTAGTAGCTGCCTCCTATGCTTGTCATGGTGTATTCATCTCTCTTTCTGTTACATGCCCTAAAAATGCTGGGACAGGATTGCAGTAACCATAATGCCAAGGGTCGTTTTGTAGAAAAAGAGGTGCAGGAGCTCATTAGCATAAATCATTAGCATAATATATTTGCATATGTCACACCCCCTGACATCACTGGAAGTGTGTCAGAAGGCAACATCCACTGCTCAGGCTCCACTGGACTCTTTTGGATTGCTAGCTATTGGGGGGGGGGTCACACAGAGGAGGGAGAACTTGTACCGGCAACCTGGTCTTAAGGGTGCCACTGGACTGTTGTGGACCGGGGGGGATGGGGGGGGGGCTCTGCAGCTTACTTGGCTGCTTCTTGCTCTGACTGAGGGCTGCTGGGAGCGGGGGGGGGGGCTTGTTGCATTTGCCCTCCCCCTGGGCTCTTTACTGTCAGAGCTCCGCTCCTGTGCGCTCCTGCAGGAAATGACCCCTGCATAATGCAATGAAATGCAGAATGTACCAAGTTCCTGTCCCAATGAACACAAACCATCTCGAAAGACAAGAACTATGAGCTATTCAAAGAGATCCAATCTTTCATGTTATTCAGAGGCATGAAGAATGCTTCTGTTTGGTTGCTTTCATGGGACTACAACAGAGATTCCAACAAAGATGTTGGTTAACAAAATAGGCAAAGATCAAGCACAAAGGATGCTGTGTTCATGGGATTGAAACTGGCTGCCAATGAAGATGAAGGCACAGTGGCCAATTCCGTACCTAAACACATGCGGCCAGCAGTCTTGATTGTGACTTCCCATCTCCAGTCCCACACTAAGTATGGCATCCATACACAAAACATGAGCTGTATGCAGGCAGACTCCTTGCACTTTGCCCATCTGCTCCAGTTTTTGTTCCACTTTCTGTTTCACTGTTTCATCATGTTTTTTTTAAAAAAAGATTTGCAGTTATTTACAAAACAATAAATCTAAGTTTTTCTATAAAGTACTTTTAGCCAAATGGGTTTTTAAAAAGTACATCACATTAATTCTCCTGGACTTCTCAAGCAGCTTTCGATACCATCAGCCATGGAATCCTTCTGGAGAAGCTGGCTGGGTTGAGTGTAAGGGGCACCATGCTTCATTGGTTCTGCTCTTACTTGACTGGCTGATTCCAGAAGGTGGTGCTGGGAGAATGCTGCTTGGCCCTATGGCATTTATCCTATAGTGTCCTTCAGGGGTCCATCTTATCCCCCATGCTATTTAATATCTACATGAAACCACTGGGAGAGGTCATCTGGGGGATCTGGAGTGAGGTGTCACAAATATGTAGATGCCACTCAGCTCTGTTTCTCTTTAACGGCTAAGCCAGGTGGGTCTAGGGAAGTCCTGAACAGGTGCCTGGAGAAGGAAATGGGGTAGATGAAGGCCAATAAACTGAAGCCAGCCTGTCCTGGAGGAGGGTTGCACTCCCCCAAATGACCCAGTTTGTAGCTTGGGGATACTACTAGATCCTGCGTGTCATGGGCCAGCCAGCTGCCACCTCCTTCGATGAGGAAGAATCTGACGAATCGGGCCCCACACCTGAGCAGCTGGATCTGGCAGCAGACGCACTGGGGGAAGCATCAGGAAGCAAAAACACTTCCGAATTATGGCCAGGCTGCTTGATATTCCAGGACAAGAAAGAGATGCCACAGAGGCCAGCTTCCCCACTAGCCTCTCATGAGCCAGCACTGTGTAGAAGAAGAAGAAGAGAGAGCCTGGCGGCTCTAGAGAGATGAAGGAACACCCACTTGGCTGCTCAGCGATGGTCAGCATTAGTTCATGGAGTGGAGTCCTTGCAGGACCATGACTGATAGGCTAATAGGGAAACAGTAAAAGACCTGCATCTGTAGGAAGTTGAATGCTACTATAAGGGGCAACACACAGCCATCGGGGGATGAGTAAGCAAAAGGTGCAGATAAAAGGAACACGGTGAACAAGGCTTGGTGCAGCGGCAACCTTGCTTGCCACTTCCCTGTGTGCTGACCTGTTTAGCAAACAGAGCTCTACCCTGACCCTCCTGCCTTGTACTTTGTTTCTGGTAATCTGTGCTTGCTCCTGAAGCCTGGGACCCAGACCCCTGTATCCTACACCTGTTCCCAAGCCATGGAATTGGACCTCTGGATGCTTGACCCTCTTACCCTGACCCTTGGACTGGACCTTCGGATATCTGACTCTAGACCGGTTTGTAGACCTTGCTCCTGTGTATTTCTGTACTTGTTGTCATTGTATTTGTGTATCCTGGAAACCCTGGGGAGTGCAACAGCACCAGGTTTGGCCCTGAACATGACACTGGCCTACAGTTGGAGGCTCAGGTCTCCTTTGTGGCACAAAGTGCCTCTTATCAACTTCAGCTAGTTTGCCAGCTATTGCTGTTCCCCAAAACAGTGATCAGGCCACAGTGATCCATGCTCTGATCACATTCAAGCCAGATTACCACAGTGTATTCTATTTTGGACTGCCTTTGAAAATAGTTCGGAAACGTCAGTTGGTCAAAATGTGGTGGCCACGGTACTGTTAGTGGGTGGTTACAGGGATTATATCACCCTGTGCAGAAAGATTTATTTATTTATTTGTTTGTTTGTTTGATTTATACCCCGCCCTCCCCAGCAGGCTCAGGGCACAATTCTATTTGGGCACAATTCTATTTCTGGGGACAATTCAAAGTGCTGGTTCTTACTTTTGAGGCCCTAAGCAGCTTGGGACCAAAGTGCCTCAAGGATCATTTCCTCCCCTACTATCCAGCCCACCAGTTATGATCTGCCTCTCAAGATCTCCTGTCTGTGGCTTCGCCTTCAGAGGTGAGGCAGGTGGTGACTAGAGAAGGGACATTTTCTGTGGTGGCACCTCATGTTTGGAATGCCTTGCCCCTTGAGGTTTGCCTGGTGCCTACCTGTACCTTCTTCTCGGTGCCAGGCTAAAACACATCCTTTGACCCAGGCTTTTATTTAGGGATTTTATCTTAACATCTTTTTTTTAATGGTTTGCTTCTGTTTTATGTCTAATGGCTTGCTTTTAATGGTTTTTTAAAATATATTGTGTTTTTTAATTGTAAGCTGCCTTGAGCAGGACTCTGAAGAGGTGGCATAAAAATATTCTAAAGAAATAAATAAAACTTTAAACTATACAGTTTGGCGTAGAGGTTAATTGCCCGGACTCTAATCTGGGAGAACCAAGTTTGATTCCCCACTCCTCCACTTGCACCTGCTGGATGACCTTGGGCAAGCTATATCTGGCACAGCTGTTCTTGAAAAAGAGCAGTTTCTGTCAGAGCTCTCTCAGCTCTCTCTGTTATGGGGAGGGGAAGGGAAAGGAGTTTGTAAGCCGCTCTGAGACTCCTTTGGGTAGTGAAGGGTGGGGTATAAATCCAATCCCTTCTTCTTCTTCTACACATGCAATTTTTTTATGATGGAGACATGGGAAATAATCAGTTCCTATACATCCTATGACATGGTTAGCTGCAGCACATTCTCAGACTCTAATGTTCTTGGACAGAATCCTGGGACATCCCATTACAATCTATGGTACTCACTCCCAAGTCATGTGACATGGGAGACTTGTATCTTTGTCCAGCTGGAGTTATTTTTACTGTCAGCAATATGTTGGCCTTGTTTCTGTGCCAAGACAGATATTTTGACCTTTGTAGAAGATTCAAAGGGAGCAATCTCAGTCCCCCCAATGAAATGTTTCCAAAGATCTGAAGTGCTTAGAATACGAACACAATAAGGTAATATGATTGCAATGGCTCCCACGTTATAGTTAAGCAGCAAACTAATGAGCATCTTGATTAGCTGTACCTTGAGTAATGGCATCACTTGGTTCTTGGGTCTCCCTTTCTTCCTTCTCCTCTTGAACACATGAAGCAGCAGCCATCTGAGCAAGGGCAGATGCACAATTAGCAGCAACCCCTATTGAAAGAAAGAATCCAGCTATTTCTTAGTACACAATTAGCATTAACCCTCTGCTCCAGTCATCACGTACCTGTTAGCCATCGGCCAAATGAAAGGAAAGATGCACGTCTCTGCACCAAAGTTAGTGCTTTCTATATCTGCAAGGTCACCCTTGGGAACAACAAGGATTATATCCCACTGTAGAAAATTCCTCTAAAAATGCAGCCCATGCTGTTGACGATAGCATACCTAAAGCACAACTGAGCCGGGCTGCCTTCCTCAGTCCATCCAGGCTCATGCAAATGGCATCTTTCTCCTTCTGATTCTGCTCCTTGACTCCTTCAGCTCCGAGAATGAATGCCAGTCCTTTAGAGCTCCCTGCCATACGACCAGTCAGAGGTGTTGATAAGGTATCAATCAAATTTTTCCAACAACCAATTAGCAGGTATCGGGCAAAAGCCGCACCTAAAGGGGAAAAAAAACCCCCAGATAGCTCCTTAGTTAACCTGGACATTCAAGCATTGCTTGCTATTGGGAATCAGTATTGGTTTGGCTCCAGTTTAAAATAGGTGTTTTAAAAAATTGATGCCATACAACAATCATGTGGAGTGGACAGAAGCTCTCAGGCATTCAGGACATGTCTCCTCCCCACCCAATACAAACATACTGGGTTGGATCCTGTGATGCATCAGCACAGGGTAATGACAGTGATGGATCCTTCTCCTCCCCCAGCAGTCCTTCCCCTGAGGATGCGGCAGAGAAGGAAGGCAAAATCACTTCCTTCTGCCTCTTCCCATGAGGATGCTGCAGAGGAGGCAAAATCACTTCCTTCTGCCTCTTCCACTGATCAAAACAGGAGGAGGAAATGATCATTTTATTCCCCTCCCTACCGCACTATTCCAACCCATGTGGCTGTTATTCCATGTGAGTCTCATGGCCATGGGAATAAACTCTCCCAGGGATTGAAAAGGACTGCTGGGGTGAGGGCACAGCTGGGGAGATCTGTGGTCCTTGTGCAATCTTTCCACTGGATTCAGCTAACTATATTTATCACAGTTTTGAAACATCAACCCAGAACAAAACACAAGACTAAATGTTACCTGAAAACAATGACTGACTCATGCAGATGTGGATGATGATCCAAACTAAACAGACCACCTACCTGCCACAACTGCCTCGTCCGGCTTCCAGTTCTGGGTGAGAGGAGACTGGGTAGCTGCAGAAGCCATCAACTGCCCACCTATTGTACTACTTCCCAAACCATCAATGTCTGAAAGGAAAAGCAACAACAGCATGAGGTTATTGTGGAGATAAGAAAAACCATCTACAACCTGAGTCCCATGTGTGTTTCACAGTATCTCATTACTTGGTTACTTGGAGCTGAATGTGTGAAACGCCTTCTCTTTAAAATATTGTGTGCAAAGTAGTATATAATATGAAAGTTCTGTTTGTGGTATTTGATCTCTAAGACTGCTGTTTCACACATGAAAAAAAAAATCATGCTGTAAATCACTGTGTGAGGAACATGACTGAGTTCTGTGAGCCACCAAACCAGAGGCACCAAACCAAAGCAGCTCTCGAAGTTCAGTTATTACTCTGTGGAAACACAGGATCTTCATTTTATCAACTAAAGTCAATCGATGGTCCTGAAAAAGATTCAAGGACAGAAAGAAAGGGAGAATGTAAACACATGTGCTCAGCCCAATTCATACTTACAATGGCCACATGTTGCCCAGGCAGGCTTTGGACAGACATGTTTTGGAAGTTCCCCACTGGAAATTTAATTCTCAGATGCATGGGGTCCAGATTCAGACTGTGATTGCCGCTCATAAGGGCAGGGAGCCTAAACCTTCCCCCTCAATGATGTTTCACCAACCTGACACTGTCCTGAGGAAGTGCTACTTGCCCACAGGGGAAACATGTTTAGCTATCATTCCATGTCCACAATGGGGAAATAACAGCTCACTGGGACCACTCCAGGTCAGGAAAATGGTGGAGGAGAACAGCTTAATCCACTTGTACTCACATGCCGCAGCCCTTATCTGAATCAGGCACATGTGCACCCGGGAATTAGTTTAAAGTGGGGGGAACTCATAGTATATGTCTTGGTCCTTGTTGTGGCCACAATGGACTTTGCAACATGTCAATCAGCCCTCACTTGGGAAGAATGCCAAAGGGCAAAAAAGATGATGAGAGGGTTGGAGCACCTTTCCTATGAGGAAAGGCTGAGGAGTCTGGGACTTTTCAGTTTAGAAAAGAGACAATGCCATACAATGGGGGGCATGATAGAGGTTTATAAAATTATGCATGAGCTGGAGAGAGTTGACAAACATAATTTTTTCTCCCTCTCCCAAAATACTAGGACTCGAGGGCATCCACTAAAGCTGATGGGCAGTAGATTCAGGATGAACAAAAGGAAATACTTCTTTGCACAAAGAGAGATTAGAATGTGAAATTCGCTGTCAGAAGATGTAGTGATGGTCACAGGAATAAACAGCTTTAAAAGGGGATTAGATAGATTCATGGAAGATAGGTCTATCAGTGGCATGATGACTGAGGGGAACTTCCACATTCAGGGGTGCTAAACCTCTGAATCCCAGAGCCGGGAAGCAACACTAGTGGAAGGTCTCAGCCTCTTTGCCCTGTTGTTGGCCTTCCAGGGGAACTCATTGGCCACTGTGTGAGACAGGATGCTGGCCTAGATGGACCACTGGTCTAATCCAGCAGGGCTCTTATGTTTTCATTTACACAAGGTCTGGTTTCTGAAGCAACTAAGATTTGCTAGCACTTCAGTAAATCTGCAAAACAGCTTTTCAACTCATACTGAAAACAACTTTATATCTCTGACGTTGTTTAACTGGGAAAGCTTTTAAAAGGAGCAAATTATATTCTTGGCACAGTAATAAATTCTAGTGTTAGGGTTAGGGATTTGAGGGATGCCCTCAAAGGTTAGTTGAAGATGTATGGCAATGACCATTTTAGTTCCAGAATTCCAGACAGCATCTTCATCTGTAAAACAGCAGTCCTATCTAGAAGAGTTACTACTCCAAGCTACAGAGGAAAAATAGCCACTCCAGCCCAAACAGGGAAAATCTCTCCAAAATTACAATCTACTTTTTATTTTGCCATCAAGTTGCAACTGATTTATGGCAATCCTATAGGGTTTTCAAGGCACAAGGCATTTAGAGGTGGTTGCTATTGCCTGCTTCTGCATAATGACCCCGGTATTCCTTGGGGGGGTGGTGTCTCCTTTTCAAATATTAAGCAGGGTCAGCCTGAGATCTGAAAAGATTGGCCTCTCCAGGTCAGGGCACATTACTTTTAGTTTGCATTAAACATGATGCAACACAATCCAGCTACTGAATAAGATGAGTAAGGTGGGGTCAGAAACTAGGGCCTTTTGGTATGATGACAAAACAAAGCATACTACAAGCTTGTCATATGACAGCTGTTGACTGAAGAGTAACACTCTAAGCTCCCCGATATAGGGAGGACGTAATTTCAGTACTTTTTCTGAAAGGAAAACACCCATGATATTTATTTCTAATATTTTGGGTGCTATCATAATGCATTTAGCTGATGCTGTACATTTATTTCTGTGCCATCTCTATATTTAGATGACTATACAATTATCATACTCACCAGTTAGCATGGTAATGAGAGGAAGGCTGTGTTCTTCAGGACTTCCCCAATATCCGGCCTCTCCAAGAAGATTTCTCTCAAGTACCTGATGGTAAAGTTCTTCAACCCAAGCCTGAGAAAATACCATCAATACTCCACTGGACTGGACCTGCTTCATAAACTCCTTCTATAAAATGGAAGACCATACCAGTTAGGAAGTGCTGTTTCTCCTCAGAGAACCCAAAACATACAGGTAAGATCAGGAGGCCAAAAAAATATATCAATCTATTTGTTCCATCTCATTTATTGTGTGTACAGAGGTAAGTATCTCACTGCTAGCACAATTAATGAAATAACTCCTATACATAAGTTTTCAAAATGTTTATAAATGAAAAATCTCAGACCCTTGCAGGCATTATAACAAATTAACCAAACAGATCCCAAAAGCTTTAACTAACATTCATCCGTATAGCTATTTGGTAACAGGAAAAAAATATTTTGGATCATGGATGAGAAACATTGCATGACATTTCTTCCTGTTACCAAAACATTTATGTCCTGTGGTGAATACTCTGTCTTCACATCTCTCCCAATTATAAAACTGTGTGCTATGTAATTAACACTCTGGAAACATTAGCACAATTATAACAACCGCTTTGAATTTTAAACACAAAGGCTAAGTTCAGACATCATGACCAAATCATAGTTTGTGATGGGCACAAACCTGGTTGCTGGGCCTGCATGCTGTCTTCATTTCTCCCCCTCCCCTCACACACGCAAGCAGGGTTGAAGACCAAAGTCTTCCACTAACCCCAGCAGCCATTATGTCCAAATGTGGATGCTTCCATTAACTGAGGTTACTTTTCCTCCGGGTAACTGCGATTCCTAACCAAGATTAAACTGTGGTTAAGAATCCTAGTTATTGGGAAGGGAAAAACCCTCACCCATACTCAGACTTGATGAGTCACTGAAGTTAGTCAAACTCAGCACAATGCATGGGGGAAGGAAGAAGGGGCAAGAGGAAGGAGTGCTCAGGCATACCAACTAACCAAGCTTGCGTTCATTGTGGACAAGATGAGATTTGGTCATTGCATGTGACCTGAGCCATACAGAATCTTTTAGTTCTCTGTTTTTGAGAAAGGAGGAAACACCTGCATTAATTTTCATTTTTAGATCTGTATCCCCATCACTCTTGCAGCTTTGTAAGGCGTGCTATTCCTTCCAAAAATGTCTGCTGTTTGAACATGTCAGGTATATCTGAAAGCCAATCCTTCACTCAGTTACAATGATTTAAACCTGTGGTTCTAAAGCTCAAGTCAGTGAACTGCAGATCAACAGAAGCAGTAGAAAAAAAATGTAAGATACATCCATGTGACACGTTCATCATACTAAATCATGACTTTAGGCACACTTGGTAGCAAAATTTTCTATATCCACTTACTACTAACACAGGACACTGGGCAGGCTTCTTTCGGTAGTAATCTGCATTGGACAGCTTCAGATTAAGCAGAAGAGTGTAGTGAGAAACCATGTAGAGACTGTCTGCATTCATCAGTGTCTGGAAGCTGAAGCCAGTATTCCCTTCAAATCCTGGAGAGTGCATCATACCTAACAAACAGAGATGTAACAACCACTGTGCACCAGTGTTCCCTCTAAGCTGAGTTAGTGTGAGCTAGCTCACACTAACTCAGCTTAGAGGGAACATTGCTGTGCACTAGATACCTGGTTGGGCAGCCTCCTCCTGAGGCTGGCCACAGCACCATGGGATACACTGGTATAACTCCAGGATACCCCAGCATAATGCTTAGCTGGCTTCCCCCTAAATGCTAACAGCTCCTGGACTCAGGATTGTGCTGTAAGTCAATCAAGTGCACTTTTTCATAATGGCTCATCACAATTGGTAAACTACTTCACTGTAACACGAAATTGTCTTTCGCAGCCCACCACGGACTGCTCAGTTTGGGATGGAAAAAAGAGCTGCCGCTGGTAATAAGTTAATCAGTTAGTATAGTGATAGGCTAGCAGTGAAACTACACATTACAATTTTGTTACACGTAATGTCTGGGTTCCCTTGACCTGACTTTGAATGATGGATATCAGATGCAAGAAAACTTTCCCCCCAAGCATGAGGAGCCCTAGCTTAGATTGGGAATCAATATACAGGGGGAGAAGGGGCGTCAGGCCTTCCCCTGCACCATTTCCCTGATTTAAAATGGCGCTTGGGGAGCATTATTTACCCTGTAGGGGGGCTGCACAGATATTGATGGGCTGCATGTGCAGCCTCCCAGCAGAATCAATAGCACTCCTCAAGGGCTGCTTGAGGTTGGGAAAATGTTGAGGGGAGGAAGGCTGAAGCCCATCTACATTACATGTAGTTTGATCCTTGGATTGGTGAATCCCCACACACCATGCTACGAAGCATCACATGTAGTTTGATCCTTGGATTGGTGAAAATTTGTGTTCAGATCCCTTTTTAGACACGAAGGCCTGAGGGTAACCTTGAGTCAGTTATTGTCACAGCACATTTATCTCACATTAGGTAATATCTTGTTTGTGGATCTCTCCTGCAAATAGAGTCCTGTCTCTGCCACAACATTTTTTTCATGTGTTCTTCTTCTCTTGAACAGAAAAAAAAATTACACTGGAATCAGCTCCCTGTTTTACAGGATTAATCCATAAGGCTGCACATCAGTTAGAAGGCTAACTTTATCAGCCACAGCACAAAAATCATGCTTATACTTAAGGAGATGCTCTGTAATGGATATCTTCCCGCCCCCCCAAAAAAAAGATACTCAGTGAATTCATGTAATCCCCACCCCCAAAAAAAGATACTCAGTGAATTCATGTAACACTAACTGTGAAACAAACTGCCATCTCACCAACCTGAACAAAAAGTTGAAGAAAAGTTCTGAAGGGCCAAATCCACCTCTTCGACACTAGGAAGAGCTATAAGTCGAGGAAGAAGAGTTTCAAGGGACTGGATAAACAACCTGGCACTATGCTGATCTGCTTCCTGGTTCTTCAGCAGTTTCAAAGAAAGGGCAGCAGTCCGTAAAGATTTGTGACCTGGACAGTCTCTTGGGGTCTGCTCTTCATCAGCCAATGAACAGTTGTCTGAGCCTATGTCTGAGACATCTGACCTCCCAGAATCTTTCTCTGCTGCCATTGAATATTGGTCACATGAATCAAATTCAGTCCTAGAAAGATCCTGGTCATCAACACTGAAATTACTCTCACTGTACCTGGAGCCACAGGAACGTGCCCTGCAATCAACTGAAAGAAAATTAGTTATGTCTGGATAAACAACCATATGGCTCCTTTGAACAACATCTGGCTGGTCGATAGTTTCCGATTCCGGCTCTTTATAATGAATCTCTTTACCCGCTTGTCCACCTGGTGATTGCAGTGAATTTTTACGAATTTCAGAATTATCTTCTGGAGTAGTCTGGCCCAAATCACCCTCCAAAGTAGTTTGACCAGTATCTGTGGTAACACTAATGCTAATATCAGGACTTTTTTCATTGCCTGCATCCCATGGGGTATGTTCTGATGACAGGATACGTCTTTGCCACCTAAAATCTGCATCATTGATCTCCATGGAGTCTCTGCTTGTTTCAGCCCCGTCCTTTAATTCTTCCAAGCGTCGGAGAAGCAGATGGATCTGATCCTCATCCAGGCCTTTTCCTTGACTTAACTCATCTAAAGTTCCAAGGAGGGCACAAACGCAAGACACTGAGGCATAGCATGCTTCGATGCCACCTTTGATGCAAGCTTCGGTCATCCCATCCAGGATACTAGAATATAAAAACACACAACCCCCCTTTATTCTTTTTATTGTAATAGGAATCCTTGAACCCACAAGCATCACTACTACATTAAAGCACAAATACATCCTTTTTCAAAGAGAAGTAAAGGACAAGTATGGGCTTTCTTACTCTTTGATAATGAGCTGGGATTTGACACCATTGGTATTCAGTGTTGAGAGAAGCCTGGCCTTTATCTATTAGACAGAGCAGTATCTTCTGCCTCTTGTACTTCATATTTCAACTCACATTCTCATTGTGCTCCATCTTGAGATCAGGGCCCTTGCTCTACAGATTGATCTCGGAGACTGTCTGTTGGAGAACCACAACCCCACCCTGGTCTTGACAACATGATCGTAAGCTAGCAAGATTGTACTCCCATGTGTTTTTTTTGGGGGTGGTGGTGGTATTGTGTGCGTGTGTGTGCATGTCTGCACCTGGAAGTCATGTTGACTTCTGGTGACTGACCCCTACTGGAGGCCTGGAGGATATTCAGAGAGGTGGCTGAATAAAGCCTTCCCCTGTCCTCCCAACTTGGTATTCCAAGGAAGTCTCCCATCCAAGTACCTACCACAGTTGGCCCTGCTTAGTTTCCGGAACCTGATGAGATCAGGCTTGCCTGGGCTATCCAGGTCAGGGCAATTGTACTCCTATGTTGATCCCTGCTCTTTTGAAAGCTGCAGACTGTGTTAAAAATGATTAATCATCATAACCTATGACACAGTTCCAGAAACAAAATCTTACTGAATTTGGAATCCAGATTTCCCTTACTTCTTCAGTGTATGTTCACACAATGCATCTTTGACACCTGCTTGTCCAATTTATATGGATATCTTTGAGCTTGTGGAGCCCAAGGATGTGGGACAAGATCCTTGGACAGTTGAGATCTACCACCCATGCAATTGATCCTTGCCCTTCCTGGATGACAAAACTTCCAGGGGGGAGCTGGCCAAGAGGGTAAGGGGAGTGTTAAATGTTTCCTTGAGGGTGGGGGTTGTACCACCCATGTTCAAGGAGATAGTGATTAGACCTGTTGCAAAAAAAAACCCTCCATAATCCCTATTATGTTGGAGAACTTCCAGCCAGTCTCCAACCTTTGTTCTTGGGCAAGGTGCTTGAATGGGTGGTCACTTCTCATTTCCAGGGGCTCTTGGAAAAGACTGATTTTCTGGACACAATTCAATCTGGCTTCAGGCCAGAATTTGGAACAGAGACTGCTTTGGTTGCCTTGGTTGATGACCCTACTGAAAGCTAGATGGGGGAATATGACCCTGCCTGTTCCGCTGTCTCTCAGCACTGGGACTGGGGGACACTGTGTTATAGTAGTTCAAGATGTATCTGGGAGGGGGTTGCTCTGGGATGGTGCTGTGGAACCTGCTGTGCCCTATAGCTGCTGGCCTTTGGGTTCGATCTTTCCCACCTAATTCCGAGGATGCTGTTGATATTCTGAACCAGTGCTTGGTGTCAGTAATGGGTTGCATGAGGGTTAACAAGCTGAAATGTAGTCCTCAGAAGTGCTCTGGGTTAGTAGACTAGGGACTTCAGATCTTTCATGTCTTGGCTGGGGTTCTACTCCTCTTGAAAACCCAGGTTTACAGCTTGAAAGTGCTACTCAACAAAGCAGTCACCTTAGAAAGCCAGTTGGCAATTTTGGTTTGGAGTGCTTGTGCCCAGCTTTGGCTTGTGCATCAGTTGGATCTGTTCCTGGGTCAGGCAGATCTAGCTACAGTGATCCATCCCTTACTTACATCTAGTCTGGGCTACTGCAACGTGCTCTCCTTGGAGCTACTCTTGAAGAATTTTTTGGAGGCTGCAGTTAGTGTAGAACACTCTGGATAGACTCCTGGTAGGGGCCAGTTCATGGGAGAATATGACCCCCAACATTACAGCAATTACACTGGTTATTGATCCACACCCAAGCCGAATTCAACATATTGTTTTTGACCTTTACAGTCCTACATGACTTGGAACCAGGGCATCTGAAGGACCATCTTCTCCCATATGTTCCTGTGTGGGAATCAAGATCACAGGGAGAGGCCCTCCTGACTGTCCCCATCTATCAAAGAAGCTCATTTGCTGGGTACAGGAGAGGGGGCCTTTTCAGTGGCAGCTTTACAATTATAGAACAACCTCCCCAGGTAGGTGCATCTGGCCCCCTCACTTTCAGTCTTTAGGAGTCAGCTGAAGAAAGTTTTATTTAGGACCACTTTTTAAAGTTAACTGCCAGTCCTGAATTTTGGTTTTAAATTTTGGTTTTTATTTTTAATGTATTTTGTGTATTTTATCTATGTTGTAAACTGCCTTGAGCTCCATAAGGAAGAAAGGTAGCTAAAATGTTTTAAATAAAATAAAACGATAAATACTTGTGCAGCTTTACACTTCAGAATAAGCTTGCATTATTCAAGTTAAGCATATTGTATATTTCACAATATTTTGCTGAGATCTTTCATTGGATTATGGTATTTATCCCTTAAATGAAGAGAAAAGTTAAATGTATGCAAATTGCAGCTATGTAAATTCCACTGCATTCATACATAAATAAAGCCTACTTGGCTGAAAGTCCAGTATTTAGTAGACATGCAATTAAAATACAGAAGCGGAACTTACAGTTTGAGGAGATCCAGGTGAGACTTTCTTTTAGAAATTGATCTTTTTCTGGATTCTGGTTCAGAGAAGCAGGGGCCTGCCAAATCACACACCCGTTGAGGACTCCCAAGCATCTAAACAGAATGCAAATCTGTATGAGATAAGAGAAACTGTCTGCAACTCCAATAAATACATAACTGGGATCATCTTGAATTTTAAGTGGGCTAATTTGTCTGAGGACATACAGAGATAAACTAACACTGTGCCTTCTGAGGCAAAGGGGATCTTGAGAGGCTTTAGATTTTAACTTGGATCCTATGCAGGATTAGCAGAGCTGCTTTTCTACCTCCCACTGCAGTAAGTGGACCATAGGATCAAGTGGGGGCTGTAGTGGAGGAAGAGAAATCAGTGAAAATTGGTCTCCTCCATTTTGAAAGTGAAGTGGCAACCAGAAGAAAAAAGAGAATTTAGGATCTAAGCCTTGATTACAAAATAAAGTAGGTCTCGAGTAAATTTTCACATTTTCTCCTGGCCTTGAATTAAACCCAATCAGTTGGAATCAATGCATATGTTCAATCAAACAGGACTAATATTACAGTAAAAACCATGGTTATAAGCATCCTACAGGTTCACATACTGTGCTGGGTGGGGTTTATAAAGAGTGCTATTTGCACTTTTCAGAAGACATCAGCTTTACTCTATGACACAGCTCTAGGAAAAGCACTGCATGATGCCTCTAGTATACATTCATGGTAGGTGTCAAAATATTCTCCAAAAAGTGATAATGCCACAAAGTGAAATGGATAATCTTCCATGACCACAGAGGAGTTACTGGAAGTAGTACCACTTATGTTAGGTCTGACCACATATCTACAATTACCTGGACAGACCTGAATATTGCAAGCGGGATAAACAACCAATTGGATGCATGTGCTTCTAAAAACTATAACCAGACAGAAAGAAATATGACAATGAATTACCTATTTTTCTGCTGGTATTTTCATTTTTTTTTATTGTTGAAGAATTATATTACTCACAACCAACAAAAAGGTACATAGATTGTATATAACATCATCTAGTGCTTAAGACAAATTGTATCAATTCAACTTATTTCTCCTTACATAATATTTATATCTCTTTACATAAAGCTGTGTTCTTGTTTTCCCTTCTTTCAAAATGATAATTATGCATTAAAGCATACATTATAATTATTAGCTTCCTAAGTTCCTGCATCTTCTGTCTTCTTGTTTTAAGCTGATAAAACGATTAACCCAGGGCTTTTTTTGTAGAAAAAGCCCAGCAGGAACTCATTAGCATAATAGGCCACACCCAACAGCAGAAACTCATTAGCATATTAGGCCACACCCCTGACAGCACATCACATTAGCATATTAGGCCACACTCCATGTTACCAGAAGTGTGGTCATCCAGCCACACCCACCTTTTGCTTCTTATTCTATTTACTTTGTTTATTGTCAAAACCCAGGGCTTTTTTGTAGCAGGAACTTCTTTGCATGTTAGGCCACACACCCCTAATGTAGCCTAATGAGTTTCTGCTGTTGGGTGTGGCCTATTATGCTAATGAGTTCCTGCTGGGTGTGGCCAACGTGGGAGCCAGCCAGAACTCCGTTCCTGTGCGTTCCTGCCCAAAAATAGCCCAACCGATAAAGTATACATTAGAGCCCAGAAGACCATTTAGGTCTATGGGAGGCCACAATGTAAGCTAGGGGAGAACCTTCTACCTCACCCAGTGACCTGCAATATGGCAGCACATACCTGTTTGTTAGTACCATATGTTAATATCATGTTGTAAAGTAGCTGCAAGGGGGGTTATTAATTTTCCATTTTCACATTTACATTCATGGCGGATGGCAATTTGGCAAAATAGCAGCACAAACCACCTACCAACTCTATTAAATTTCAATTCTGATCATGGCTGTTAAACACTTCTATGGGGAAAAGAAATTAAGAACCTTGTGGAAGAAAATTATCTTAGGATATGCATAACACAAAGATAGATTAAACCAAATAAAGTATACCATAACATAGCAAAATCATTAGGCAGTTTTCATCCCCATTTTAGAAGATACCTATGCCTTCAAGGATGCTTGCTCAAATGCATTTATTCTCAGAGTGCACTGAGTGCTATTCCCAGATCATGTTTAATTGCTGAGCTGTGGCTTCCTACTTGTGAAGGTCTTTCTCCATGGTTATTTGAAGATTCAGTATGTAAAATGCAAAGGACCCCATAGCAGTAATCATGGTGTAAAGCTAAACATGGGAAATACATGCAAGTGCTTTCAGATTTATTTTAAAATATTTTAAATTAAATAATTAAATTAATACACATACCATAAAGTCAGCCACTGCCAGTACACTGATCGTTTCTTTAAAATATCATATACTTGCAGTTACTAAGTAAATGTATTACTGAAAGAACCTTAGGAACACTTTAGGAACACCTGACTGTAGTAACCAACTCCATATGTTTGGTTTAATACTTAGTTCATCAGTTTAGGAGGTTAGGCACTATCACACATGCTCCTAGACTGGTCTAATTTATTCCATGATCTAATCTGGTCTAATTTGGTCCATCCTTGTAGATGGTTTTCAGGCTTCAGCTAGGCAGCCATCTGTTATTTACCAAACAGAGCATACTAAACCTATGTTAGCCTGCCTGAATTGCCTGACTTTATATTGCTGAGTTCAATTCAAGGCACAGTTTATAAAGCACCAGATGCCATACAAGGCCCAGGCTCTTCACTTCTTAAATCTGGCTAAAGAGGACCTGCTCCATATTGTTGTCTATTGCAAAACATTGTGAGGCACTTTGTAGGGTAGGGAAAGGATACCATAGTGGCAAAATCAGAACTTCGAAACAAGCTGCCCAGGAAAGGCCATCAAAGAGCCTCATTGTTAGAACTCAAACAATCTCTTCACTTCTCAAGTACTTGGATATGAACTAGTGAAATGCATGTTGCTGCTCATTTCTTGCTTGTTACTTTGTATATGGTTTAATTTCAGAAATGCTGCTTTGAATAAATAGTAATAATCATGATTAACTTGCAATTTAAATAATTTATGAATAAACATCAAACTCTCTCAGGTTACCTTACCTCTTTCATGATCTTGATAGCTTCAACTCGGTGTTGAGGTGGGGGATACAGAAGCATACGATGATAGAGAGACTGCAGGACCGGCTTCATGGATTCCACCGATCCCACCAACCGGACTAATTCTGCGGCAATGTAATATATTGTCCGGGCAACAGGACTACTAAGGGCAGGTGCGGTTGAAGAACAACCTGACCCTCGGCCGTGATCAGAGACCCCTGAGGAAGGAGAATCAGTCTCAAGACAGGTGCTGCTGTGAGCAGAAGTAATTGTTTTGTCATGGACTGGATTTCCCAGAATTACTATGAGGGCTGGACACAGCTGCTTCCTAAGAAAGAAAGAAAGAAAAAGGAATTATTTATATGTATAGATTTCTTCACTGAACGTGCTATATTGTAGAAATCAGCCCTGAATGTCTAATCTCTTCTTACATATAGTGTGTGTACACATACAAACTCTAATGTTATTTATGAATTTACTTTCTTGGATTTTCACACATTTGTTTATTTATAAAGTTCCTACTATGAGACTCATGGGAATACAAGTGAAGGGAAGGGGAGGCTTTTGAAGATGCCTCCACCCCTTTTTTTGCTTCCCCAGCCGGCCTGCCAAGGCGGGCTGGGGAAGCGAATAGAGAAGGGGTTTATAGTGTAAACCCCTTCTCTCTAGAGTTGCACCGCAGCAGTGGCACGATCTTTCCAGCAGTGGCCCCATAGAATACAATGGAAAGATTGTGCCGCTGCTGCGGCGTGACTCCAGAGAGAAGGGGTTTAAACAATCTTTCCATTGTATTCTATGGCTGTGGCACGACTCTAGAGAGAAGGAGTTTAAACTTTAAGCCCCTTCTCTTTTCGCTTCCTCCGCAAGCCTGCTGGGAGCAGGGCTTGCTGCCACCACCATTTCTGCCCGCTCTGGCTCACTCCAGCCCCAAATGACCCCTGACCAGCACCCTGAATTGTGCCCAGAAATTGATTGGGAGCCAGTGTAGAGGAGCCAAGACTGGAATGATATGGTCCTTATGACCCATTCCAGTCAACATCCTGGCTGCAACATTCTGTACTAATTGACGTTTCAGAACACTTTTCAATGTCACCCCATGCAGAGCACATTGCAGCAATCTAATCTTGATGTACCCTGATAATGCACCACAGTGGCCAAATTTTTTCTGTCCAGGATAAGCCATAGTTGGCTAAGGTATTCCTAGCTACAGCTGCGACCTGGTTATCCGGCACTAGGCCTGTGTCCAAGAGCAACTCCATACTACAGGCCTGTTCCTTTAAGGGGAATGAAACTCCACCCAGAATGGATGACACCTTATCGGTGACCTTGAACACATGGAATTACTTGATCACTGCAGCTATCTTCAAGGCCCCTTCTTTTACTTTACTTTAACAAGGCCCCTCCTTGGGTGGCCTTGCCTTCTGAAGCTAAATGGGTGGCAACCAGAGAAAAGTACTCCCAATTATGGCACTGGAGTTAATGAATTCCCTCTCCAGGGAGATTTTCTGTTCCCCTCAATCACTGTCTTCCACCAGTAAGGAAAGACTTAACTGTTTTGGTAGGTGTTCCCTCACTGATCCTTCTTTCTGTTCATGTGTTTTGTTTTATCACTGTTTTTACCTACTTTTAAAATATGTATTTTAAAAGCTGTTTTAATGGTTTTGATTGTTCACCACTCTGAGGACCTTAAGTTCGGTAGAAAGGTAGCATTCAAATGTTCTAATAAATAATGAGTCTTTTATTTTTCTTTTGCTTAGATGCTGCAGTATATTGCTTCACAACTGTATGCTTTCAGGTTTCATAAAGAATACAACTAAAGATAATTTCCCCCTGAAACAGGAGTTAGCTTTTGCAACCAGACACAAATACTATACTTGGCATACACTTACAAAAGTTCAAAGAAAGGGCAAGGAGAGCCTGCCTAGTTGGAAATTTCTCGAACAAAGGATTTCCAAAGAATTGCTCTACTTCTACAGCTCTTAAAGAAAGAGGGAGTTTTTGAATTTGAGCAGAGGGTCTGGTTAGGTTACAGGGCAAGTGTATCTATTAAGATCAACCTGTTGGTGGCAGCAGAGATTAAATCATATTTGTGCATGGGTCTGTTTGGAGGAAGCTAAAGAGGTGACATCCTCAATCACGGCTAACAGCAGGAGCTTTGGGCCGGCTAAGTAGAATAGAAACAAAGGCCTGTGAGGTCTGTTTTACCATAGACCATCGCCAGGGGCTGGCTGCCAGATCCCAGTTCTCTGAAGGTACGTTGTCATCCTGGTAAGTCACAGAGAGGGATCTTTGCTATGCCACACTTCTACCAGAAGCGCTAGAGCCTTCTGAAAGGCTGGTCCCTGTCCAAATAATGAAGAAGGGCTGTTGTAGCCCAGCTGCTAGAAATCCTCCCAATTTTTCAGCAGCTGAGATGTAGCTTCTGAGTCTTAATCCTAACAGCATGCCCAAACATGAGGAAGTCCTCGAGCACGGTGACTCAAATCCCCCACAGTATACTCCAGTAGGGCTGCCAAGTCCCCCCGGGGGGCAAGGAAACCCCCGCCCGGGAGGCCCGTTCCCCGCCGCCGGATCGGGCCCCCGGGGGGAACCCCACCCCCAAAGCACGTCACACGGAAGTGACGCAAGCACATCGGGAACGTTGGGGGCGGGGCCACAATCATCCCAGGGAAAACTCTATGGTTTTCCCTCGGATGATTGTGGCCCCGCCCCCAACGTCCCTGATGTGCTTGCATCACTTCCGTGTGACGTGCTTGCAGCGCACGCATGCGAAGACTCCCGGAGCAAGGCTGGGCTCCCCCGCTCCGGAACAGGTGAGCACTTGGCAACCCTATACTCCAGTGGCAATAAAACTTTCCCCCCTTCTGAAAAAAACCAGGGTAAATATAAATGACATTTAATAATAGCTCAGAGTAGAAAGAGTTAACTCCTTCCTATGAGATTGAATGCTGGTTCTTTCCCAAGAAATATACAAAGCAGGAACATTTACCAGATGAGGTCAGTGAATCCTTTGTGCTGGCGCATAGTAGGAGAGGAACTACTGAGCATTGAGAGGATGCATTCCAGGTACAGAAGCTGCAACTGCTGATTCTCACTAAAAATGGAAACAAAATATACACTTTCTTGTTCATCCTAAACAGAGGCAATAAAAAGCAGATGCTTTTTTCTCCCTGTTGCACACAGAGATATAAAAGGAAGGCTTTCTACCAAGACAATGAAAAAGGACAGCAGTTGAATGCAATTATCTGGAATCAATTTCACCCAAAGAGAAAGATGAATTCTTATTTAAAATGGACAGCTTCATCCAAGATATTTTATAGCATACTCAGACTGAATCATGTCAGATACTCTGAATGCTTCACTTAATTCATAAGCTAGTCACTGCTTTCAGTGGAAAAGCTAAACAAATGCTTAATAGGGGTTCCAAGCGCTTTATTTCAGCTTCCTCGTGCCTCAAAATTTGATAATGTTATATATTTTCAATAGTTGTAGCTATTCTTTCATTACTTTCCAGCTGAGACTCATCATAATAGAACAATACAACATTGCCTGAGCAACTATGGTTATGCAGGCTCACAGAGTCCTCCTGCCTCCTCTCTTGTACAAACAGTCCCTTTCAGTTTTGGAGCTGTGATTTGCATTACTTGTGCACTGTTGGTGGGGAGGATCCAAGGAGCTTTTCTCTAGCCTAAGGAACCTTCTCCCAACTTGAGTGGAAGAAAACTCCTTGGAGGACAGTACAAGTAAGGCAAATCATAACTAGCTTCAAAGCTTGAGGAAGCCTCCTTAGGTTGGAAGAAGGCTTCAGACGTTGTTCAGTGGGTTGGTAGCATGGGGGGTAGAATCCATATCATTTTCATCAACCGAAGTGAGGGTCATGTCAAACTATAGTTAGCACCCATGTGTAGAAGCGGGCAAAGTGCACTTTAGACTCTGGTCTCCACTGATTTGCCACACTACCCAGAGTTAGTGCCAACAGTGAAAGGTAGGAAGCAATGCCCATGCAACTGGTGAGGAGGGAAGAATGCACAAGCTTGGAGGGCAACTTCTGATAGCTTGAACATGGCTAAGGTAACAGGCAATATTACATCTGCATTGGGCCACTGGATCATGCACTTTTCATTGCAGAAACTTCCCAATTTAACATGCATAGGGAAACTCCTGTTCCTATAACAAATTGACAGCAAAAATAAATAAATTCCAATCTAATGAAAGAATCTAATGCCCACTAAGAAGATTAAATTAAAATAGAGGCTCCTTCAAAGTGCAAAACAGAACCCCCCCCCAGGGTTTTAATAGCAATAGAGTTCAGTTAAAGAGCCACGCGCTTTGATAACAACAAAATATTCAATTAAAATGTCTTAAACTTCCACTGTATTGGGAAGATTGTGTCGGAGACAAGCAAAACATTACAATACAAGAAGGGGGACCGCGATACTCGCGGGGGGGGCAGGGGGGAGGAACTCAGCAGGCAGAGGAGGAAGCAGCTGGAGCATGTAAGCTCGCCCTCCGTCTCCCCCCCACTCGATTCCCCCCCGCCTCCTCCCCCCGCCCTCTCGGACATAGTGAGAGCAATGAAATAATATATGGGGGAGGGTCTCTATCGACTCGGAAGGGCATGAGCAAAATCTCAGATGTCTGGGGATACGTTGAAATCTTCCGGAAAGAACTGCAGATGGAAAAGTGTCAAATCTGGCTCTGGAAAAGGCCCATTTATGATTTGGGTTGGAAATATTAGCTAGGTATAAAGGAGCATACATTAAAGTTTTGGATTTCAGAGATTTGTAAAATGGCGGAAGTGCAGCATAAGCTCTCTGACCTGCTTTTTAAAAGGTGATGCTACAGTGGGACGGATGAGGAATATGCCTTTTCCATCTAACAATCTCACTTGAGCACTTCTTTAATTAGGTCTGCCCACACAGCAAAGCGATAGTCACTTTTCTCCAGCAAGAATACCTTCCACTCTATTGTTAATTACACACTTGTGCCTCCCTGTCCTTTCAAAGTGTGGGTCATGTCAAACTACACTTAGCACCCATGTGTAGAAGCAGGCAAAGTGCAGTTTAGACTCTGGTCTCCACTGATTTGCCAAACTACCCAGAGTTAGTGCCAACAGTGAAAGGTAGGAAAGATACACAGGAGCAGTAAACTTCTGGAATACAGTTAAATACATCTAAATTTACTCCAGTCCAGAGAATTCTCTTGAGAAACAAAGACATCATTTAAATTTAAACTATTTTCTTCTTTCATTAAACCAGAGTGACACATTGCTAAGCAGTCCTAGCCTCATATTCCATGCTTAGTAATTTAAAACTATTACACGGAGAGAGATTTTTTTAAGAGATGGTAAAAGGCTAACAAATTACTATCATACGCAGGGATGATATCTCCTCCTATCTGTATGGCCCTGAAGAGGAGTAAGGATGTCTACATTAACAAACCTGAGATGGCTCCCACTGATGATGTTCTAAGTAGAGGGAAGGAAAAGGAATCCAGTGAGCCTCCTCTGTATTGACTGGTGCCTAATTTCTATTGACCCGATCAAGAGAATTTATATCAATACGGTGAATTTATCCAGTGTTGTAATGAGGTGCCACCTGCTTAAATTACAGTTTTCATTTACCCTCACCCCCCGCCCAAGTAAAACAAGTCTTTTCTTGCTATCTCAACTGTAGATCTCGTAAATTAAGAAACAGCAGAACATAAAACCTCATATTTTAAATACCTTGGAAGGCATGCAGTTAGAAAGAATGAACAAGGTCTCTCCTCTTCCCCCCCCCCATCTACTCAGGATACTGTCTCATTCTGTGCCAAAGGCAGGGCCAGCCAACTTAAATATTCCCACCCAGACAGCAGTTTCCTCCCACCTCTTGGCTCTGCCTTCTAAGCAGAAGGAACAGAACTGTTTGGCTACAGGTGTTGGAACCGGGATTGGGATGATTGTGGCGTAGACAGGCAAAACATTAGAATATATTAATTCTCTTTTACTCGTATTGTGCATTGTGAGCTTCCTTTCACTCACAAAAATGCCTAACAGTAATAACAGGCTTTAAAAATACTGATGACTAGGATCCAGCGGTGAGTGAGAGAGGATTGGAAAGGAGAACGAATAGGTTTCCAGACAGCACTGAGGATGCACTGGAGAAGAACCGTCTGTCATTGTCTTATTAATGATCTGTTATTAATGATCTGTTATCTCAACTGGGGGGGGGGCTGCTTATTGTACACATAAGTGCTAGTTGTGTTTGATATCGTTTTGGATTAATTTGGGCAAATCCCAGACTCAGCTATGGATATAATCACTGAGATTTACAACCAGCTTTACCTTGAAGAAAAATAAATATTAAATGATTAGTCCTTAAATTTGGCATGGATTTGTCCTCCAGTAGGTGTTTCAGCAAAAGTTCCTCGGACTGGATTACTAATTGTCCTTGAAATCTAAATGACCTTAATAAAGGCGTAATTAAAAGGGCTCTTTCTTCTGCATAGTGAGAGCAATGAAATAATATATGGGGGAGGGTCTCTATCGACTCGGAAGGGCATGAGCAAAATCTCAGATGTCTGGGGATACGTTGAAATCTTCCGGAAAGAACTGCAGATGGAAAAGTGTCAAATCTGGCTCTGGAAAAGGCCCATTTATGATTTGGGTTGGAAATATTAGCTAGGTATAAAGGAGCATACATTAAAGTTTTGGATTTCAGAGATTTGTAAAATGGCGGAAGTGCAGCATAAGCTCTCTGACCTGCTTTTTAAAAGGTGATGCTACAGTGGGACGGATGAGGAATATGCCTTTTCCATCTAACAATCTCACTTGAGCACTTCTTTAATTAGGTCTGCCCACACAGCAAAGCGATAGTCACTTTTCTCCAGCAAGAATACCTTCCACTCTATTGTTAATTACACACTTGTGCCTCCCTGTCCTTTAGATACACAGGAGCAGTAAACTTCTGGAATACAGTTAAATACATCTAAATTTACTCCAGTCCAGAGAAGTCTCTTGAGAAACAAAGACATCATTTAAATTTAAACTATTTTCTTCTTTCATTAAACCGGAGTGACAGATTGCTAAGCAGTCCTAGCCTCATATTCCATGCTTAGTAATTTAAAACTATTACAGGAGAGAGATTTTTTCTAAGAGATGGTAAAAGGCTAACAAATTACTATCATACGCAGGGATGATATCTCCTCCTATCTGTATGGCCCTGAAGAGGAGTAAGGATGTCTACATTAACAAACCTGAGATGGCTCCCACTGATGATTATGGCCATGAGATGGCTCCCACTGATGATGTTCTAAGTAGAGGGAAGGAAAAGGAATCCAGTGAGCCTCCTCTGTATTGACTGGTGCCTAATTTCTATTGACCCGATCAAGAGAATTTATATCAATACGGTGAATTTATCCAGTGTTGTAATGAGGTGCCACCTGCTTAAATTACAGTTTTCATTTACCCTCACCCCCCGCCCAAGTAAAACAAGTCTTTTCTTGCTATCTCAACTGTAGATCTCGTAAATTAAGAAACAGCAGAACATAAAACCTCATATTTTAAATACCTTGGAAGGCATGCAGTTAGAAAGAATGAACAAGGTCTCTCCTCTTCCCCCCCCCCATCTACTCAGGATACTGTCTCATTCTGTGCCAAAGGCAGGGCCAGCCAACTTAAATATTCCCACCCAGACAGCAGTTTCCTCCCACCTCTTGGCTCTGCCTTCTAAGCAGAAGGAACAGAACTGTTTGGCTACAGGTGTTGGAACCGCTGCCCATTCTTTTTTAATAGTTTCACTACAGCTTTCCTGCAGTTCTCCTGCAGGTATAATATTGAAGTGAAGGCATTTTTCCATGGCTCTGCCATATAAGACCTCTTGGGCACCTGCACAGCAAGCAGACACACCAGCATCTGGGCTTCCTTAATCTCCTGTCCCCATCCCTCTAGCTCAGTGGGAAGGGGACAGCAGACCCTCCAACTGCAAATGTAGGTGTGGCAGAAAGCAGCAGAACAGGTCATCTTAACCCCTTCCTGTGCTGCTCTTTGGCACAGGATCTACAGAGGAGTGCCTCGAGAGGATTGGAAAGGAGAACGAATAGGTTTCCAGACAG